ACACTGACATGGCCAGGCTCAGCAGTCATGTATCGCACCATCCTGGCAGGGTTGGACATTACTGACCACCTCGCATTGAGCGCACTAGCCCATAAGGGTCGAGAAAAGCGAAGCTTAGACAAGCACGACTCACGAACCCACACTCAACACACGTGCATATCAGTGCTTTCACGATCACTTTGTGATCGCAAAAATGCTCGAGGGCTACTGTTGGGGTTATGATACCCGGGTATCTCAAGGCACTGATTAGTCAACCGCTCGGGTGGCGCATGGTGCACTAGCTAGTATGAGCCCAAACGATCGAGGCCTAGCTAAGCCACATGGGTGGGTCCAAACACTATGGCTAGGATCTGCCATGACCCCTTTCCTCTGCCTTAGCCACACACCACACAACAACTCGTGACCTCTCACCGTCTCGACCCCTAGGAGGAATGGGGAGAGATCGAGTCCTACCATGTGTACCTGCTCTGACAAGAGCAGACACGCCGCACTGACCCCATAAGGACTAAGGGGATAGCAATCACCTCGGCCCTGTTAGATGCCATTCCTACGCCACACAGCGAAGACAAGATAGCACCACCGAGTGGTGACAGCTGGTATAGTGACCCACCGTCTAAATATGGCCTGACGAGACATATGTACGATTCCACCCACTATAGGATGGGATCCACGGCGATGGCCTTGACTTAGAGGCCATCTAAGCCAACAAGGGCCACGACCCCGGATCTCGGGATCATGGTCATAGGCAGCAAGGTGATCAGCAATCCAAGGGCGGCTACCAACTCCCATATGACACCCCTAGATGATCAAGGGGCGATGACGAAGGCCACGGCGAGACCACATCGTAGGATGGCTAGCAAAACACCATCGTGCCCACAGTGCCGCCATGATCGGCATTGTAGCACCACGCCACACCATGCTGTGACATGGGCACAAGACCACGATGATAGCCATGCCAAGACATGCACCACAAGATGACGTTACTTGCAAGCCAAGTTAGCTAGGCCCTCTCCCTTAGACTCATGACCCCTCGATCGAGAGAACCTCCTTCTTTGTATGTGACCTAGCCCCAGACTCTATATAAGGGCAACCAGGGCTCCCTTCCCAGATCATCTTCACAATCTCTAGACTCTCGAAGCTCTCATTCGGGTAGTCCATCTCATAGCTCTAGCTCTCCTACCTCTTTCACCATTCTTGCACCCCCATTGTTAGAACTTTAGAGCACTCAAGCGAGGAACATGCACTCGATCATCTCTAAGACTGGATGTAGGGCTCATCCGAACTAGTATAACTCCTCGTGTCTTTGGATGCTACCATCGACTTCCTAGAGCGGTAGCGACATTAGTATCAATTTACAAGTAGGTCTACAAAACACCAACAAGTCTAGTGTGGAAATAGAGCAAGAGCAGAGCTTCTCTCGAGTCCGCAAGTGTCTTACGGGTGCTGTATAGCTCCTTTATAATTCTTTCATTTTGCATTTACGTTATTCAGTACTTTATTTTTAGTACTTTATTTAGTATTATTGCTTTGCTTAGTCCAAGTTCTTGTTCATTATTGTTCATCATTAGTGAGCTTAGGTGCTTGCTCTCAGCATTAGTATCATAGGTTATCTTTTGTTTAGTACTTTCGTTAGTACCGGTTCCACCGTCTAGTTAGGGTACTTTGATCTCATTTCATCAGAGCTCGGATCACAGTAGTAACTTTGTAGATTAAGCGAGGTGCTTAGGATATAAGTTACCTGTGGATATGGCTAGGCCTTCGGATAGATTATTGTAGTTGGCAAGTGGTGACAACCTTGTCCATCCTGTGTATTCCACCACATTTGGTCTAGTTATTAAATCGTAGGGCTCGTGGCAGACCTTGTCTATTTAACTCTCCTAGTTGGTAGGCAGGCTATGCCCAAAGTACTAGTGTATTTCTCCTAGTCATTTGTTTACCCTTTGTTACTGAAAGATAAATTGCTCACTCTCCCACCTAGCTATCCTACCTCTAGTTTAGCTTGTTTAGAAGTTTACTTAGTAGTTCACTCTGAACCACCACTATTGTTTAACCACTTAGGATATAATTAGGCTTTCGTTTAGCAATCCTAACTAATAAATATAAATCAACTTTCCACCTTCCATTGGGAAAATATAAATTCTACACTCGATACTCACCAAGCGAAGTGCTACATGATAGTTCTGTGCGCTTATAGAATTCCTCCACTAGTTGTTAAGAAGTATCAACAATATATAAGTTACTTTTCTAACAATCTAAATGTATGAAGATTGTGTGGTACCATTGTTGAGAAGAGCGAGGAAGCGAGGCCTCGAACTCGTGGAATTATGCTGGACAAAATGAGCAAATCACTAGACGAAGTGAGGATGCCCATCTCTGTTGCCGAGGGGAACAGAAGGCCACATGATCCAGTGCAAGCTACCAAGTTTTCCTCAGAGGCAGGTGTAGTAGTCAGGCGTGAAGTACCAATTTTGACGCATTGAAAACATTATAAGAGGCCCTACGGCGCCATCCATTACCAAAAAATTTGTGGACAGGCTAAATGTATGTATGGGTATCCCCTCTTGACATTCAACTATGCTTTGAGCAATTTTAACAGATTTATTTTTCATTCACACTACTGTGTGCAGTCAAGGCTAGGTGTTAACTAGGCTCGCCCACCAACAAAAGAAGCTTGCTAGAATGTAATGTAGTCTAGGGTACGGCAGGCACGCTACAGGTTTAAGAAAAACTACTTCAATGGTGTCCCTGTTGATCAGATCCTTATGACCTCTCCTGTACCGTCCATGACCAATGCATAGTGGTGTGAACTTATCGAGATTTGGTCTAGTACTAAGAATAAGGTGTGTGTGAACCCATCGATTTTCTGACTAGTCTTTGTATGGTCTAGTTGTCCTGCAGTCTAAAACAAATGAAGCTATAAGAAATATCTGAGAAGAACAAGTGAAACCATGCAAAAGTGAAGTACCACCAGGCTACAGGATCTCGTTCCTATGTTGTCCAGCTGTAAACATTTATAAGTGATGGTTGTATTTTATTGTTACTCTTGCCTTTATATAAATATAAACAGAAACTATGTGCAATATGAACAGAAGGAGAACAAGATAAAGGTCGTAGAACACGATCAAGGACTTGAAGAACAACATGGTCAACTTGATGAAGATGTTAATGCTGTGGAAGTCTTCATGGACTTTCATACCAGTAGTAAAAAGGGCCTGAGCGATGCTACAAGAGCAGCAGTTGTAAGTACCTTCTTTTGTTTTTCTTGAAATCTAAGCCATTGCCATAAAAGAAGAAAACGTAGCAGGGGCCTAGTATGGCAACATGATTTAATTTTGAAGTTGCAATTTTGCACCAATCAATAGGGTACCAGTACATTGTATTTATGTAATCTCTATTAGTAGTAGGCTGCAAAAGACCTATGCATTACTTGTTATGAATTAATTTTTTGGGTTTACAATTAAAGTCCTCTTCCATTATCTGTAATCTAATGTTTTACCGCTTGAATTTTGTAGGAAGGTATGAAAACTATACAAGTAGAACCTGTTGCTGATGGGCAGGTGTTGGCAGTCCTTAACACACACTTTTTACCACCAACATTTATATAAAACCTGCTAAAGAGAACACCAAACTTAAAATTAGGGCTTATAATTAATAAGTACCACAAGTTTTGGTGTTTACAAGTTTTAAAGGGCACATGCTTGAAAAACAAAAATAACATGCCCAAAATGTGCAATAAGACAAGGCATAACATCATCTGACATAAGCCCGAGAAAAGAAAGCCCACTTATTAGGCAAATCAGAGCCCAGTCAAGTAGAGAGAAAATGCCAAAACCCATACCAAATCAACTCTAAATGGCACGAAACTTTGCAGGATCTATCTAGAGGTCCAAGGAAGGCAAAACACCGAAGCTAGGGCCGTTTTGGCCTAGTTGGGGTGCGGCTGCACCACCACTAGCTCCTCTCGGACCCATCTTTTGCGTGTTTTCTCCCACTGCCTTACCCACGTTGGTTCCATAGGGTTTGGCTAGGTTCAACATATCTAGGACGTCGGTTTAAGGTTGGCGTGCGTTGTCGCCAAGCTCCGCGTCGCTGGCATCTACGCGTCGTCGCTGAGCTATGCGTGCGTTGCCACCAAGATCCGCATCGCCGATGAGCTCCGCACTTGCGACCTCCGTGGCATCGAGCTTCGTGCCGTCGTCGAGCTCCGTGTCGATGAGTCTCGATTCACCCAAGCAGCAAGAAGATGTTGTGCTGAAAAGTGCATGTTGCAAGCGTATATTTTAAGTGTTTCAGATGTTTCATATGCATGTTGTAAATGTTTCATGTGGATGTTGTAAGTAGGTCGGTATGTTTTCATATGTTGCAATGACTATACACGTATGTTACCAGCGTCTATTACAAATATTTTAGCTGTTTTAGACGTATGTTACACGTGTTTTATCTAGGTGTTGCATACGTTTCATGTTTATGCTGTAAGTGTTTCATATGGATGTTATGGATGTTGTATATATTTTACACATACGTTGTAAGTGTTTCATCTATATGTTGCATATGTTTTGTAATGGCTATACCTGTGTTTTAGACGTATGTTGCAAGTGTTTCAACTGTTTCAGAAGTAATTTGCAAATGCTTACTTTAGATGTTGCAAAATAAATATGGTGTTGCACAACATACAGTGAGACTTATCTATCGTAGCCATCTAATGTAGTTGTTGGGTCTGTCTGTATATGCGTGGATGTGGATGGAGCGCGAGCGCGAGCGACAGACGCGTGAAACCGTGTGGGCACGTATTGAGACGGAATGATGCGGGACACGAAACGAGCGTGTGATACGATACGAGCGCCGGACGCGGGCGAAGCTAGCCTGTCGGCTTTTTATAAAGACGGAGAGAGTACATCCTTGCGGCAAAATTCAACTTTCCACCAAACCCCTCGGCCCATTCTCCCACTGGTTGCGCCCGCCACGCTAAATCGAGTACGCCACCAACCCAAGCCAACGTCCTACCCCGCCTCGCTCCCATTTCCAGTCTTCACAGCCTTGCCAACAACCCTCGTCCTCCACTTGCCCTTCCCTCGCCAGCAGACTGTCCCCGGCCGCGGCCATTGCCGATTGACCACATCCGCATCCCGCATCCTCAGTCGGGTCAACTGCGAGGGCGAGCCATTTGAAAGGGAGGAGTAGCAGACTCCGGAGGCGGAGATGACGCTGTTGTGCGTGCCGCTGGTGGGGCGGACGGTGGAGGAGATGATTGCCGACGCGGCGGCCGCCGCCGCCACCGGCGGCGACATGGTCGAGATCCGGCTTGACTTCATCCAGGGGTTCCGCCCGCGCGAGCACCTACCGCCCCTGCTCCGCGGCTGCCCGCTCCCGGCCCTCGTCACCTATCGGTTCGTTCGCCACCCCTCGCCCGCTCACTCCCCCTCTGGGCATCCCGCTATGGCTTCCGCGGTTGGGTTCGGTTCGTTTCATTTCATGGATTCCGCCGCCACTTTAGGATATCCGGAGCGCGTGTGCGGCTACTCCCGTGTGGGATCCATCTGGGCGTGCCCGGGCTCGCGAGATTTAGCTTTTCAACTCGGCACGGCACATGCTCTGTCGCTTTTGGTGTGTATCGTTCCGCGGTATTGAGTCATTACCTAGTCGCGTTTCGTTTGTCGCTACGTATTAACTTGGCTTGCGACGCTGTTTTGGCGGATCAAATGGAGTGGTGGGATGAATGCAAGAATAGCCCTTTGTGTCTGGATATTTTGAATGTAAGCTCCTGAAGTCCGTACTAATTTTTGGTATGTGTATCCTTGAGGATGTTGAACATAGTTGGCCCCCTTTAGCATCTAATTTGCACATTTGGTCTTGTTTCAGTTTGTGCTGCCTTTCTGGCTAGACATGAGCTTTTAAATTTCATCACTTAGAAGGAGGGCTGCTGTGCCTGGAGTATATGCATTATCTGCTTTTTGAATCTTGTTTTCTGCACAAATTAGCTGCTGGTAATAAAAATATAAAGCTTCAAAATCCCTGCTAAGCTTCTGTATCTCACCATAAATATAAGTTGCCCTGTGTTCCACATTAATTATTGTTGCAACATCCACATGATAGTGTTTAAGACCTCACACTACTAATACACACATGTTAGAACTAACTTTTCAGTCCTCATATTAAAGGAAATTGTCATGACCAAGGATCAGACTGACCATAGGTTTATGTTCCTGCGAAATACCCCACTAGACACTAGTCTGCACTCTCCACTCATTGCTCGTAGTAGCGTGAGGGAATAGTAATCTATAACCTGACGTGTCACTGAACACAGCCATGCGTGGGTAAAAAGTAAACATACCTCGAATTACTTTGCTCCATCTGGAGAGGAATGCTCATGCTGTCAATTATCTTCTGCAACATGATTCTCCATCATGTCCACAGCAGTTTGCCTTATTCTGCTGCATGTATTGTTCTAGTTTCTGTACATTCCTTAATTTTATAACAACCTTTAAATGTCAAATTCTTTCAGATAGAGCTAATCCCACTTATTGGCTAATCCTTTTATTTAAGTATGGCACTGTGCCCAATTCAAGTTTTGTCTAAAGTTATTTTTCTTCTTTTTTTTTCCATATTAAGAAATCACTGAATAAGCAGTTTTCTATAATTATTCAAGAGTTAATTTCATTCAGTTTGCTTGATTTTCTTTAATATAAACAAGGCTAACTTGGAGAACATTTTTGGCTTGCTTGTCAATTTACATTAAGTTGCTAGGTGGGCCATACTTATTCTAAAATCAGTAAAAATAATGACAAAAGAACTGTCCTTGAAAACTAATCAATTATTTTTGGAGATAGATATTTGTTGGGGCAGCGTGAAGCCTTCTTATATTCTAATCATTGCTGTCCTGACACTTGCACTTGTTAAAATCATCATCAAAGTAACATTACACCCATGAAAGTGACAATATAAGTCTTGTCCTTATCTACTTAGGATAATTATCTAGAGTAGTTGGTGGCTGAGTCAGCCCTTATCTTTATTCCTAGCATCTACTTTAGCATTTCTAGAATATGCTGTAGCTTTCTTAAGGCTCAAGCAAGCTATCCTATATGTATCCCCAACCTGCCATAGTTGTGGCATGGCTAATAAATCTGAAATTCAGCCCCAAACCTATGTTTTGGTTCTAACAAATGGTATCTAGAGCCTAAGTTCATCGGGTTCTACCCTTACGCCATCCCAATCCGTCATCCATGTCTATCCACTCCTCATCCTCTTCCTCCAACCGTTCCACCACCTCCAAAGATATCGTCTTTGCAGTGGCCAGCAGCAGCCAAGTATGAGTAATGGCGGCAGCGTCTGCAAAGAAGAATGAGCGGTGGCTCGCGCGTCGCTCTGGCGGAACTTTCTTTCTGGCAGCGTCTGGTGAAGCCGCCCACTGGCGGCTGGGAGGCGCGGATCTTCTGCAGCAGGCGCCAGTGCGCTTCTGTCTGAGGCGACGCGAAGCGGCAGGGGAGGACTACGGTGCCCGCGGCGCGCGTCCGGATCTGAGGAAGCGGCGGCGTTGCGGCTTCTACGCCCAGGCGAGCCTTAGTAGGCTGGCTGGCAGCAGGCGGCACTTTGGGAACCGTGGACTTGAGGTTGGCGGATTTGGCGATTCTGACAACCGACGAGCCGTCTGGACGCTTGGCGGGCGCGCCGCCGGACGGACGACGCCGCGACTTCGACCGGACGCCACAGGGGCCGAGGCGAAAGCGAAGCGGCACGTGGCGCCAACGCTGGTTGAGCCAGGAGGAAGCGGCGCCGGTCACGGGACACAAGGCGGACGGGGCGCTTCGCGCGTAGAAACCCTCACAGCGACGCGCTCCCCTTCCCGTCTTGGCGCCAAGTGGTTGCCGTGGCGGCCCGGCTCCCTCCCGTCATGCGAGACGTCGTCAAGGGCCGGCGGCCAGATGGCCCATGCTCACCAAGACCAACTACGCCAAGTGGTCCATGGTCATGAAGGGAAGATCTGGTAGCGGCGCGCATGTGGGATCTTGATGCAGTCGGCGACGTCGACTTCCGACGAGGATCGGCGAACCGGAGGCGCTTCTTCTTCTTTGTTCACGGAGATGCACTCCTCCCTCGCGAACAAGAGGACCGCCAAGGACGCCTGGGATGCCATTGCCGTGGCACGCATCGGCAGCGACCGCCCCGCTGGTCCACGCTTCAGAAGCTGCGTCAGGAGTGGGAGAACCTGGCTTTCAAGCCAGGTGAGGACGTCGATGACCGCTCTCCGCCTCAACACCACGATGCGGCAGATTGGCGGCGATGCATACGACAACGACATCGACGAGGAGAGAGTTGTCGAAGTTCCTCGCGTCGTCCCCAAGAAGTACTCGTGGGTCGCCATCGCGATCGAGATGTTGCTGGACTTCTCCGAGCTGTCGATCGAGGAGGTGACAGGTCTCCTCAAGGCCATCGACAACCGCGAGCAGCTACCTCCCTCAGGGCCGGTCACCATCGGTGGCAAGCTTCTCTTCACCGAGGAGCAGTGGCTTGCCCGCCAGCGGGAGCGGAAGAAGGGGAGGCCTCGGGTTCGTCGGCGATCATAGCGTCGGCGCGCCAGCGGATAAAGCGTGGTGGAGCTCTAAGCGGCGCCCGACGGCGGCGCCAAAACTACCCGCGCCGACACATGCAACAATTGTGGGAGGACCGGCCACTGGGCCAAGGACTGCCGGCAGGCGAAGCGCGGCGGTCAGGCACACGTCACGCAAGCGCAGGAGGGTGACGAGCCGGCTCTGTTCTCCCGCGCCGGCCGCCGCCGCGCTCCTCCACCTCGACGAGCCGTGGGCTCACGTCTTCCTCGGCAACGGGTTCGGCGGCGACAAGATCGACGGGTGGTACCTCGACGCTGGCGCCACCCACCACATGACCGGGCGGCGGGAGTTCTTCTCTGAGGTCGACTCCGGCGTTCGAGGCTCCGTCAAGTTCGGGGACGCCTCCGCCGTGGAGATCAAGGGCGTCGGCTCTGTCGTCTTCACCGCCAAGACCGGCGAGCACCGACTGCTCACCGGTGTCTACTACATCCAAGCGCTGAGGAACTCCATCATCAGCCTAGGACAGCTGGATGAGAACGGCTCGCGCGTGAAGATCGAGCATGGGGTCTTGCGTATCTAGGATCGCCATCGTCGCCTTCTCGTCAAGGTGAAGAGGCCCCAACCGCCTTTTACGTCCTCCACGTGCGGTGGCGCGCGGCCGTGTGTCTTCTGACCCCGCGATGATGACTCTGGCGGTACACGGCGCTTTGGGCACCTCAACTTGAGGCCTGAAGTAGCTCGGCACCATGGAGATGGTGCGAGGGCATGCATGAAGTCGAAACACGTGGAAGCGATTCTGCGACACATGTGTCCTCATCAAGCGTGGCGGCTCCTCCCTTCGCCCGCCAGAAGCGAGCTTCGCGCCAAGGAGAAAGGCTGAGCTGCGTGCCGCGCGGTGACCTCTGCGGCCCCGTGACACCGCCACACCTAGAGGCGGCGCTTCTTCCTTCTCGTCGATGGCGTGTCCCGCTACATGTGGCGGTCTGCTTTCGACACCAAAGGCGGCGGTGCCGGGCGCCATCAAGCACCATCAAGTTCTTTGCGGAGGATGCGGGCGCAAGCTTCGGTGCCACGCGCCAACAACGGCGGCGAAGTTCACGGCGGGTGAGTTCGCGGCGTCTTCTGCGGCCGACGAGGGATCGGCGCCACTTCTCCGCGCCAGACACCCCGCAGCGAGCGGCGTCGTTGGCGCGCAGAACGAGCGGTGGTGGCCACCGCCCGCGCCGTCCTCAAGCAGAGAGGGATGCCGGCAATCTACTGGGGGGAGGCGGTGATGACTGCCATCCATCTCCTCAACCGCTCGTCCACCAAGGCCCTTGACGGCAAAACGCCGTACGAGGCCTGGCACGGGCGTAAGCCGGTGGTGAGCCACCTCCATGTCTTCGGTTGTCTCGCCTTCGCCAAGGAGCTCAACCACGTCGGCAATCTCGACGACCGGAGCAAGCCAGGGGTCTTCATCGGCTACGCGGAGGGCGTCAAGGCCTACCGCATCCTCGACCCTACAACACAGCGCGTCTGCATCTCCCGAGACGTCGTGTTCGACGAAGGGAGAGGCTGGGTCTAGGACAAGGCGGTGGACGATGGCTCGACTTCGACTCTCAGGGACTTCATCGTTGACTACGTCCAATTCGAGGGAGCCGTGGGAGCTAGCAGCTCATCTACCTCAGCACCCGGCTCGCCATCAGCTCCGGCGAGTACTCCACCGCCTACACCACCAGCAAGTCCACCACTTGTACCACCGGCTACGCCCCGCTCTCCTACACTGGCTCCCCAATCTCCTGCATCGGCGCCCACACCTCCGAGATCGGCACCAGCAGCCTTGGTCCGTGGCGAGCAGCGCACGGTGGATTCGCCACTCCGTTGTCCGACGACGAGGATCGCGTCGATGCCTACCATGACGACGAGCCTCTGCGCTACCGCACCTTGGACATCTTTGGTGATCGGCCGTTCTGGATGGCGGTGCGACTTCGAGGCGTAGCTGCACTGGCGCCGAGAGGGCGATGAAGCCGCTCCTTCTTGGCGAGAGGAGAGATCTGGCATGGCCTTGGCTCGCGATGCAACAGAGATGGACGCGTCGGCCGAACCGGGCGTGGTAGTGGCGGATCTTCCCGCCGCCACCGCGCCATCACCCTTAAGTGGGTCTACAAGCTCAAGAAGGATGAGACCGGGCGGTGATCAAGCACAAAGCGCGTCTGGTGGCGCGGCAGCGGGTTAAATCAGGCGGGAGAATCGACTTGACGCGCCTTGCGCCGCTTCTTGCAGAGATGGAGTCTGTCCGTCTCCTCGCACTGGCGGCCCAGGAGGGTTGGCGTGTGCACCACATGGACATCAAGTCCGCCTTCCTCAACGGTGACCTGAAGGAGGAGGTCTCGTCCACCGGCCGTGGTCGGATTCGTCATCCCGGCAAGGAGAACAAGGTTCTTCGCCTACGCAAGGCCCTCTACGGCTTGCGGCAGGCACCGAGCTTGGAACGCCAAGCTGGACTCCACTCTCAAGCAAATGGGGTTCCAGCAAAGTCCTCACGAGGTTGCAGTCTACCGGCGGGGCAAGGGAGGCAATGCCTGTTATGGTAGGCGTCTCGTCGGCGATTTGGTGATCACCGCACACCAAGGAGGCCGAGGTGGAGTCATTCAAGGAGGAGATGAAGGCGACCTTCCAGATGAGCGACTTGGGCCTTCTCTCCTTCTACCTGGGGATCGAGGTCCACCAGAACAGCTCCGGCATCTCCCTTCGCCAGACCACCGTCTCACGCCAAGCGCATCGTCCGAGTTAGGCGGGCTCATCGGTACAACCCAAAGACTAGGAGAGGTGAAGGCGAGCCATGACAAAGACGGCGAAGGAGGTTGACGCCACGCTGACCTGCGGCGCATTGTGGGCAACCTTCACTACCTCGTCCACACCTGCGGCCGGACTGGCGTTATTGTAGCTACGTCGGTCGGTTCATGCAACGATCGACGACGCCACGGCAAGCGAGTCAAGAGGATCCTCCGCTACATCAGCGGGCACTTCCGACTACGGCTTGCACTACTAGAGGTGTCTCGGTGCGGAGCACTTCATCGGAATACGGACAATGACGGCGACCTCGCCCGGCGACATCGACACAAGCAAGAGCACCAGCGGACGCTATTCTTCCTCGGCAAGTGTCTAATCAGCTAGCAGTCGGTCAAGCAGCAAGTGGTGGCTTTGTCCAGTTATGAGGCGGAGTACATCCATCGCTGCCACAACCGCTTTGACTCAATCTCTCTGGTTGGCTCGGATGCTAGGCGATCTCCTGGGCAGAGACGCAGAAGCAGTGGAGCTCAGGGTGGACAGCAAGTCCGCCTTGGCCTTGGCGAAGAACCCCGTCTTCCATGAGCGCAACAAGCATATCCGAGTCAAGTACCACTTCATTAGGAGCTGCTTGGATGAGGGGAGCATCAAGGCCGGCTACATCAACATCCAGGATCAGCTCGCTGACCTTCTCACCAAGTCTCTTGGGCGGGTCAAGTTCCAGGAGCTTCGCGCCAGGATTGGGATGATTCAAATTCCCCAGAAGGCGCCACACAAGACTTAGGGGAAGAATGACAGTTATAAGTCTTGTTCTTATCTACTTAGGATAATTATCTAGAGTAGTTGGTGGCTGTGTCAGCCCTTATCTTTATCCCTAGCATCTACTTTAGCATCTCTAGAATATGATGTAGCTTTTTTAAGGCTCAAACAAGCTTTCTTAAGGCTCAAGCAAGCTATCCTATATGTATCCCCAACCTGCCATAGTTGTGGCATGGCTAATAAATCTGAAATTCAGCCCCAAACCTGTGTTTTGGTTCTAATAGAAAGTGAGGTAGTTCATTTATGTTTCTACAATTAGACCAATGGATTTGATTATCCAGTCATCATAGTGTAAAGAAAGAAGTGGTCCTAACATGAAAATTTTTGAATTCTATGTTTCTCCATTTATTGTATTAATATTTTGAATTTATGTTCCCAAAATATTTGTTGTGCCGTTTATCAAAGCACATATCTCTTTGTTGAAATCTGACAAAACATGTCAGTTCTTTGTAGTAGCTAGTTGTATTTGGTATGATTTTTATAGCAAGAAATGCCAGTTTACCTTGCATAAATGATGTAGGCATCTGTTTGTTTGTTTGTTGGCAGACCTGTCTGGGAAGGAGGCCAATATGAAGGTGATGACACCACAAGATTTGAGACACTACGTTTAGCAATGGAATTAGGTGTAGACTATGTTGATATTGAATTGAAGGTTCGTTTGTTTGAACAATCAAATCTGTTATGCTTTTTTCAACTGCCTGGACAATTGGAACTTGAAACTATGCAAGTGGGGTACAGAATTACATGTACTGTTCTTGGCATTTGGGTACAAGTACAGTATATACTACTACTACCACAAATCAAAAGTTGGATGTCCCCATAGGAGCGTCAAATATGCACCTGCAATACATTATGCATACATTTCCCTAGCTGAAAAATCATTTCATTTACTTTAAATCCATTTTCAGAAGGGCGGGCCTGGTGCAAGCGGTAGAGTCTTACCGCCTGTGACCGGAAGGTCCTGGGTTCGAGTCACGGTCTCCTCGCATTGCACAGGCGAGGGTAAGGCTTGCCACTGACACCCTTCCCCAGATCCCGCACAGAGCGGGAGCTCTCTGCACTGGGTACGCCCCACTTTAAATCCATTTTCAATTATTTTGAAATGCTTTAGTTGTCTAGTAGTCATTTGGTCTTGGTCTGATTAACAATCATTAAAATGTAAATTTAGATAATATATCGAGTGACTGAAACTGGAGAAAAAAAGGGAAATTGGTGTGTACAATGCTCATGCTAACATATTAACCCAGCACCAGAAGTTAAATGCTATACTGTGCAATAAGCAGCTCTTTGTCTCAGGTATGGCGACGTAGGGTTAGAATGTAAGTTTCCAAACCACTAGGGCATGGATGTGGGGCATGCTGCAAACGAGCATAACTAGTGATTTCAGTTGGGTAGGTTTGGGGTTGGCAGGGGAGGTGATGAGGTGGTGAAGATACCACAGGCCACAAGTGGTGGCAGTTGAAGCAGTAGTATGGGCAGCTGTAAGCCTGTAATGTGCTGGCTAATTCAGTGGTAAGCATGGCGGGTGTTGGGGCAATGGTATTGCCAGTCTCAGTGAAGGAAAACAAGTAGAGTAAAGAGCAGATCTGTGACAAAAAGAAAAGGCAAAGAATCAAAGGGGGAATTCCCTGTGTGCCATTAAAAAAAGATCATAATGCCACAATGTGTGTCCTGGAAAAGTTCAATGCGGTCTTGGTATACTTTACTCCAACTTTTAAATGTCCTCCATTTCACTTCCGTCGGGTTTGGGCTCTAGCATAAAGCTATGAGTGTGAAAAGATAAAATACCCATAAGTCTAAATATGTTATTAATTTTTTTGAGCATCTTATGACTTCAAATGAAAATACTTAAAACTAGAAAGTTGTAGATCTCATTTAGATCTATAATTTTCAGTAAAAAGTATTTTCATTTAATTCGCAAGAAAAAAAATTAATAATATATTTAGATCTATCAAGGGTATTTTTTTTTTTTCACATCAAATCATTTTTTATGCTAGAGCCCAAACTGAACGGAAGTGGTATGGAGGACACGAAAAAGTTGGAGTAGTATGAAGACCTAACGAACTTTTCCAGTAAGCAATACAGATATGGCGATCTTTTTTTAATGGCACATATGTGAATTCATCCTCAGTAAATTCTTTGGCACAAATGCTTGATTTGTAGAAATTATGTTGAGGTTTTGCAACAATACTGATTATTATTTGTCGAATGATGGGAGCATGGGCTTGTGTACCAAATAGTGATGATGTGTTTCTCACTTTAAGAAATATAAATTAAAGGTTTTATACTGTTTATGCTTGTAATGACGATACCAGGGTATTGCTAGTAGTATTTTGTTCTGTTAATTTTTTAACCACTTGTCTGAACATTCATTTTTACACTACCTTGGGGTTCTGTGGACAATTTATTTCCGGTGCTCTATGTGGGTCAGGATTATATAATAAAACTAGAGCATATTGAATGGCACATGCATTTAACTTCAAGACTATAGGAGCAATTTTCACTAAAACATTCAGCCTCCATGATTTGTGTCGTGCCTGATTTTTTTTTGTCATTGTGTATCAGTAGATAGTCATATAGCTACTGTAGTGACAAACTTATTTGTTTGCAGGTTGCAGACAAATTTATGAGCTTTATTTCTGGCCATAAGCCAGAGAAATGTAAACTTATTGTTTCTTCACATAATTATGAATATACTCCATCCTGTGAGGAGATTACAAATCTTGTTGCTAGAATACAAGCAGTTGGAGCTGACATAGTGAAAGTTGCAACAACCGCTAAGGACATTGTCGATGTATCACGGATGTTCCAAGTGATGGTACACTGCCAAGTAAGTGTTTTCCTGAGCGAAATGCATTTCATTCTTGAACTTCCCCCCCTCCCCGCCCAACCACCCACACTTGATTTGTAGGGTTACTTATGCTTCTTCACATCATCACGTGGCTGCCACCATCGAGGTTGATCAACTTACTAGAAATACATCCATCAATGTGGTCCCATCTTATTTTGTTGAGTTTCTCTAGAACCAATGTAGCTAGGTGGCCTGTGGAAGAGGTAGCAAGCTTGAACAGTTGATTAACCATTGCTCTAAGTCTTGCTAACCAATGGTAGTGAAATGAGTAACATACATCAAAATGATTTTTTAAGACAAGCAATCTATTAGACTTCTATTACCTATAACTTGATGTTATGTGGCTGGAGGATTGAGAGGGAGAGGCGAGGGGAGCGACGGCGGCTGACTCGCTAGAGTACCCGCGGCGCTACAGTACCCGCGGGTACTGTTCACGGCTAGGGCTGCGAGGGAGAGAGAGAGCCGGCCGCGGGGCGTTTGCCCACGGCCGGGCAAGAGGGAAGGGATGTCCTTAATTCTTGTTTGATTAGATCGATACATCTCCTCTCCTTATATAGAGAGGTTTACTTGACTCCCAAGCAAGGCTTACTTGACCCTTAAGTAAGTGACCCTTATCTCTAATTAACCCTAACACTAATGGGCTATACAGCCAACCCAGGCCCAATAGGCCCCTGATGTATTCTAACACTACACCCCACCTGGACATGCAGCTCGTCCTCGAGCTGCAACCTAACGAACTTATAACGCTGACTCGACTCCTAACACCTAAACACAAGCCTTTTACATCTTGGCTTATTTTATTATTCTCAACTTGAAATAGATTGGGACTTTTTATTTTTGACTCCTGAACATAAGGTGGACACCATCCGCCTCCTGGATCCCATGGACACCATCTAGACGAAAGGGGTGCATGTGTATGGCCACCTAGAAGTGGTACATAGCAGCGACCATGCGACGGCCTTCGTGGTGCGCTCTCTCGCTGGTGACCCCACACCTTCTCCCCGCTAGGCGGCTGCTGATGCGCACCGCATGAGAGAGAGCGGAGGGCTTCCGATGGAGAACGAGGTGGAGGATGCGCCTCCCCAATCGCCCGCCACCCACCGTGGGGGAAACCGCATGCAAGATCCCGACGCAGCGATGGACGAGATCGAGGTCCTCCGCGTGACTAAGCGCAATGGCGGCGGGTCTGTCGCGAGGAGGCCGAGGGCGCCGCGCCCGTGGTGTCAAAAGAAGGCGGCAAGGAAGCGTCGGCATCAGTCAGCCGCCGTGGAAACAGAAGCCGCCCACCCGCCCGTGAGAGACGCCGGAGCCGGGCGCCGCCATGCGCCATAACAGACCCGGTGGTCGGGAGCGGTGGTAAGTGCGGCTAGGTCTCGGGCGCCGTGTAGATGGGTTTCGACAAACCGCGATCAAGCGGGAAGGTTTAGCGGCGGCAATTGTTGCTGCGCGGGCGGCGGTGGTGGGATCGGCGATCCTTGCGGTCCCAAAAGGAACGCGCATGAATCCGGCCACCATCTTGCCGAGGTCGAGCACACTACTGCCAATCAATTCGCGTTCGACATGACGCCAATGGCGGAGGGAGACGCCCGTACATCGGCAATGAGGTCTCGAGAACGAAGCGGCGAGGTTCCCGCAGGCGTAATCCGGCCGGGACGTCCGCGGGTCGACGTGCTGTGAAAGCGTTGGTGGCCGCGCGCGAGTGGTCGAGGTGGGCAGCGAGGTCGACATCGGAACCGAGATCTCTCGATTCTAGATTGTTATGTGGCCGGAGGATTGAGAGGAGAGGCGAGGGGAGCGACGGCAGTGGTGATCGCTTCTACAGTACCCATGGGTACTGTTCACGGCTAGGGCTGCGAGGAGAGAGAGCCCGGCATGAGGCGTTTGCCTGGCGGGCAGAGGAAGGATTTCCTTCTTAATTCTTGCTTGATTAGATCGATACATCTGCTCTTCTTATATAGAGAGGTTTACTTGACTCCCAAGCAAGGCTTACTTGACCTTTAAGTGAGCGACCTTTATCTCTAATTAACCCTAACACTAATGGGCTATACAGCCAACCCTAACACTAGTGTTAGAGTACGTCAGGGGCCTATTGGGTCTGGGCGCTTACTTAAGGGCCAAGTAAGCCTTGCTTGGAAGTCAAGTAAACCTCTCTATATAAGGAGAGGAGATGTATCGATCTAATGAAGCAAGAGATTAGAAGGAAATCCCTTCTCTCTTGCCGGCCGTGGTGATGCAGCGGCATGTGCGGCTTCCTAGCGCCCTAGCCTTAGCCTCCGCCACCACCACGTGAACAGTACCCGCGGATACTGTAGCGCTGCGGGTACCGTAGCACGCACATCGCTGCCACTTCCCTCAACTCGCTCCTCTCGATCCCAACAACCCCAACGCCATCCATAACAATCTGTAGCACGCACATCGCCGCCACTTCCCTCAACTCGCTCCTCTCGATCCCAACAACCCCAACGCCATCCATAACACTTGACAAGCAAACCAAGACGACGGTGCCACATGGATCTTTGAAGTGGTGGTATGAAGGGCACCAGAGAGTGTGTAGACGCAATGGTAGAGAGGCCGGAGATATTGTACTGATGATCTTGTTCCGAGACCAAGATCCTTTACAAAGCAACAAGATGGGTCAAATTCCACGAGAGCAATTGTTGTCGATGTAAACTTGTGAATGGAAGTAAGATTCTTAATAAGGTTGGGAAACAAGAACATTATTAAGATGAAAGGACCCGAGAAGGGTGGTAGCTCCAGTGGAGGTAATAGGGACAAGGGAGCCAAGCACAGACAACAATTGAGGAGGAACAGAGCTACCGTAAGGGGAGCTCCATCGGAGGTCATGTCGTGAAGTAGCCCGAGTCAAGTACCTTTCCCACTTGAGGTGGCGATTCTTGGTGGTCATGGTGTTGAAGGAGTGGGCGTGGGGTCGGTCTGCAGCCGGGTGACCCAAATGGTTGAACTCAAGAGGTGGAGACAGGCGCCCACATGTTCTCACATGTACCAACAAAGGAGAGCATGTGTGCGAGATGTGTCGGGGTTAATGATGTGGACTAGCGGGGAGGGCGCAAGGGGAGGGACGGGTGGTCCACACCGATGTGACTATATAAGTCTTGTGCCTATTTATTAGGAGTAGTTGGTGCATATGTTAGCACCCTTATCATTTACCTTATCCTAGGCACAGTGCAAGCGATAGAGTCTTACTCATGTGGACCTAAGGTCCCGGGTTCGAGTCATGATCACATCGCATTGCAGTGAGCGAGGTAAGGCTTGCCATGACACCCTTCCCAGGACCCATTGCAGGCGGGAGCTCTCTCCTTTAGGTACGCCTTTTTAATTAGCATCTTTTGTAGGATCTACTTTAGTAGTTAGAATATGTTGTAATCCTTTCTTAAGGACCAAGTATGCTACTCTATATGTATCCCCAAATCTTGCCATGGTTGGTGTGGCTAATGAAATAAAAATCACCCAAACTCTGTGCTTTGGTTCCAACAAATGGTATTTAGAGCCTAGTTATCTTTCCCATGTTCTTCCCCATCCCAATTCAAAGAACATGGCCAACCACTATCACTCCAACGCCTCCCACTCCTTGAAGTCGGCGACCTCGGTGGGCGGCGCCTTGACTGCACGCCGTCACTGCCAGACGCCTTTCAATGGTGGGCCTTGAGAGGAGGGAGGCGGGCAGGCGGCAGTAGCCGCAGACATGCATGTGGGCTAGGCGGAGCGGCTCGCGGCCGAGCGGGCCACCGCGACGGCCAGCGAGGTGGCGGTGGAGGCAGCTATAGCCCTCCACGCGGAGGCGGATGCGGGCGCGAGGGTGCGGGTGGATGCAGGCATGCGAGTGTGTCAGGACGACCGGCCCGCGGGACCCTCGGATCGAGAGGGAGCTGGAGGAGTAGCGGGAGCGGGAGCTTGCGGTGCTGGAGTAAGCCTTGTGGGACCTCGATGCATGTAACCCTGGCAGACGTGGCCTCGACGGACGCGACCAGGGTGGATAGGACACTGGCATGCGAAGCCCTCACAGGCGGCGCCTCCCCTTACCTGGAGCAGCGCTGTGGTCGCCATGGCCGGTGCGGCTCCCCTCCCGTCGTCCAGACCGTCTTCAAGGATTCCGGTGCTGGCGGCAGATCGGCAGGCGCTGGAGGCCCTTCTTGCTACTGTTCCGCCAAAGATGCAGCCCTCCCTCGCAGACAAGGAGATCGCCAAGGACGCCTAGGATGCCATTGCTGCGGCATGCATCGGCAGCGCCCGTGCCCGCAGAGCCACGCAATAGAAGTTGCGTCAGGAGTGGGAGCTGGGCGAGGACGTCGACGACTTCGCTCTCCGTCTCCACCCTGATGTAGCAGATGGCGTGGTACGGCGACGATGACATCGATGAGGAGAAAGCCATCGAGAAGTTCCTCCACGCTGTCCTCAAGAAGTACACGCAGGTCGCCTTGGCGATGGAGACGTTGCTGGACCTCTCTGAGCTAATGATCGTGGATGTCACAGGCCCCCTCAAGGCCGTCGACGACTGCAAGCAACAACCTTCCTTAGAGCCGGTCACCATCCGTGGCAAGCTTCTGTTTGGAGCAGTGGCTCGCCTGTCAGCGGGAGCAGAAGAAGGCGGAGGCTTCGGGTTCGTCGAGCAGCCTCAAGCGTCGGCCGTGCAAGCGGGACAAGGCTCCCCAACCACGTGGTGGCGCTCCTGACGGCGCCGACGGTGAGCGCAAGGCTACCCGCGACGACATCTGCAAGGACTGCGGCAAGACCGGTCACTAGGCCAAGGGCTGCCAGCAGGCGAAGCGCAGCGGTCAGGCACACATCGCGCAAGCACAGGAGAGTGACGAGCCGGCTTTGTTCCTCGTACACGGGAGCATTGAGTTGCACTCCTCTCCCGCGCTAGTCGCAGCCGCTCTTCTCCACCTCGACGAGCCGTGCGCCGTCTTCCTCGGCAATGGGACGAGCGACGACAAAATCGACGGCTAGTACCTTTTGAC